TATGGATTGCGATAACAGTTGTATGAGCCCCTAATAAAATGTTTAAAAAAAAAAAAAGAAATAGTAGATTTAGGGGAGTGGAGAAGGGAGGGTAAAAAAGAGGAGCTGATCCCAAGGGCTCAATGGAAAATAAATGTCTAGAAAAGAATGATGGAATATATGGACAAATGTGTCATACAATTGATGTATGTTTTGTAACAAGAATTGTAAGAGCCCCCAATAAAATTATATTTTTTTAAAAAGAAAGAAATAGTAGCCTTATTGAAGTTTAAATGTTGAATCATTTTAACAACTCTAAATAAAAATAATAATTTGATGTAATATAGTATATTGTTATTTTGGCTAATTACATTTACTTATCAAAATTACTTTCAGTTTTCTGCCCCTCACTCCATTAGAGATGTTGGTAGGTGCTGTTGAGTCAGTGCTTACTCATAGCGACTCTGCATAAAATAGAACAACAACAATAATCCCCAGGTCCTGCAGCATCCTCACACTTCTCCCTGTGTGAGACCTTTTTAACAGTCACTGACTGTTCACCTGATTGAGGGTGTTTCTTTGGTTGCTGACACTCCAGTGCAAAGGGACATTCTTCCCTAGGGACTTGTCTCCCTGATGACATGCTCAAACTAGGTGAGAAGTCTTGTCATGTCCACTTCTAACCAGCATTCTGAGACACTCGTTTGAAATGTCTGGCTCTTGTAACACACTTGCCATTTTAAAGGTATCAAAGTCGTCCTTCCAATGAGTGTTCCCTTCAGTGAATAATCTCAGGGAAAAAAGTTCTCTAATCATTCCAGGTCATCCCACGTGACCTGTTCCCACATGTCAGGGCTCTGTCTATGCGCAGAACACTTGTTTCTGCATAAATAGAGACATTGGGTAGCATCATTATAGGCATGGCACAACGTTAGTATCAGAAATCACAGCCATTATTTTCTGAGACAGAAACATAGATTATTAGTCAATCACTCCTCACAGAGTCAAGGGAGCTATGCAATGAAGCAGCTCAAGAGACCTGGCCCTCCACTGTTAGATCAATACACCATTTGAGCTCAGGATATTTAAAACCATGAACTGCACCCATGAGTATGTGCATGCCTGTTTTTCCTTTCATTATCAACAGTTTTCCAGTGGCAATTGGGATGCAAATGACTGTGGTATTCTGTTTGTCAAGAAAGAAAAATATGCAATAAAGAAGATAATAATCATTTTTATATTTCTCCTTCAGATAATGCTAGTTATTCCTTACAAGCCTGCATTCAGAAAGAGAAAATTTAGACAGGAAGAAAAATAAAAATCATCCCTGGGGAGGCTGAGAGTTAAGAGAGGAAGCCCTATATTTAACGGGAAATCCTCCCTGTCATCCATCTGTGCCTGTCTAGGGCTGTGTGTCTGTGTTTAGTGGGTCTTGCGTGCCCCCTGCTGCCCAATGTCTTCCCTGCAGGGGAGGTTTGTGTCTGGGCTCACCCTGACTTCCCCTCACTGTGCTCCTTGCACAGTAATACACGGCCGTGTCCTCAGCAGTCACAGAGCTCAGCTCCAGGGAGAACTGGTTCTTTGATGTGTCTCTGGTGACGGAGAGTCGGCTTTGGAAGGACTGATGATAATCCGTATCACCATCATAATCTATGTCTCCCATCCACTGCAGCCCCTTCCCTGAGGCCTGGCGAATCCAGTTCCAATAGTAACCACTGTTTGTAATGGAGACACCAGAGACGGTGCAGGTGAGGGTCAGCTTCTGGGAGGGCTTCACCAGTCCAGGACCTGACTCCTGAAGCTGAACCTGGGACAGGACGCCTGTAAATAAAGGTAATTGGGCTTTGTTAGTCACTCGCAGTCACAACCATCCCCATAGACTCAACATTGATATCTGAGACCCTCACCTTGGGGAACGGTCACCAGACACAGGAGAACACACAGCAATAGCATCTTTAGACCACAGCTCTGCTTTCCACAGGGACCCACAGCCATGTCAGAAGAGAACTGATAGCCTTCAGTGCCCAAAGCTGGGATTTTCACCTAGTGCCTGAACAATGATTTGCATCAGAGGGAGCCGTGTTCTTATAAACAAAGGCTCCTTTGGTTTTTTGGAAGCCATTGTAGAATAATTCTTCTTTTGAACTCATCTGTGTGTTAGTCTGCAATGAGAGAGCACTTTTCCTAGGAGGTGTCTGTGAACGGTCAAAGGACAGCCCAGCATTTCTGAGCCCTGTATTCTCTCCCTCCAGCCCTTCCTGGCTCCTGGCCTGACTGAGGCTCCAATATATCCTGTGAGTCAGAGACTGAGCAGTATAGAGTTCCTTGAAACCATTAAGTACACCCCACAGGGTCTTCATTACCTCACACTCTCCAAACACATTTCTTTTATATACACTGATGCCACTTAATCAACCTCCTCAAAGTCCTTGGTGATTTTCATATGTAGTAAATATATGTTTTAGATGAATTAATACCAGGCCAGTCCCAAGGAGTTGGGGATCGATGATGCCTCAAATATCCACCTCTTCCATGATGCCATTTAGTGCCCTTTTCCACACACTCCTCCCTTGAGTATATTTTCCTCATGTTTCTGAGATCTGTGAATTTTTGCAATGTCCAACAGAAACTCATGAATGCTTGAGGAAATGGGTCACGTGGTGGTGGGTGCACTTCAGACAATATCCCTAAAGTCAGGCAGCAGTAAGCTGGGACCAGAGACTGTCCTTCACTTCTCTCCCTCTATTTTATTAATGTACATATGCCTTGAGGCTTCTGGCAGGGTGTCTCCAGTAGGCATTGACCTCCTACTAATATTAATCAGCCAGGTCTTTCCACACCTTGGCCAAGATCCTCAAAAACCCCACCACTCTTACAAGCAACGCCATCACTGCTTCCCGGTGTCTGATGCCCAAGGAAAACCTCAGTGTAAGTAAAGTGATTCAAGTGTCATCGTGTTGCAGGTAAGAAATAGCCAACTAGAAAAGTCGGTCCCCAGACAAGACAAGGTTTTAACTCTGTAGCCTCTAAGAAATGCAAGATTCTGAAGAGAAACCCCTTTGTTTGGCAGAGACTGTTCAGAAGAATGGAAAACCAGTCAAGGGTCATGACTTCACATGCAGAGATACATCAGAGCCAGGAGTGGGAAAGAGTTGTTTAATAGACAGGGAAAAGTAAGAATAAGATCCAAAAAAACAGTATTTCATTTCCTGAACCAAAATACACCAGTTTGAGACACAGAGGCCCTCTGGATTAACTGAGGTCCATTCAGGTCCTTAAAATTTAGGAAGAAACATAGACAGTTTTAAATATTCCTTACAGGGGACTCTAGCTCACCTGAAATTTGAGCATTTACAACCAAAGCCTCCCTCTCTATTTGTGTTTCAGGTATGACCCCTTGATAACTGCAGGTATCTCAATCTTGAATTTATTACCCAAACTCACAGATTGTCTGATTTTGGAGTCGTTTAGTATTATTATTGACCATGAACTCAGTAGCGCTATCTTTAAACATACATTTTTAACCTTCAATTTCCATTAAGATTTCTTTCTCATTTATATCCACCATGACAAGCATTTTCTCCAGTCTTAGTCGACACCACTCATTTACTGAATAATTAAACTGTCTGTATATCTCTAAATTAATATTTCTTTTACCAATGTGGAAATCCAAGCACAAGGTGGTGGTCACCTGGTCTTTTCTGAGCCAGAATTTGCTAAGGAGAATAAGCAAATGCTTTGCAAAAAGTACTCATGAGGTTCACTAAAATTCCAGATTTCAAGCAAATGATACGATGATATTTTCAGTTGAAGATCATTGGAGACATTCAGTTTTCATATACAGACTGGTTTGGCATTATATGAACCTGGTATTTTTCAGCACACACTCATAACATCTGTTGCTAGTGGTTGGCAGGACAATTTAAGGATCACACTGTGATGTAGCTGCACACTAGTGCAGGTCAACTCCATCTCTGAATGTGAATCCCATGATTGTCTAAGCTAATCCTATGACAGGGGTTAATATGGCCCTTCTTAAGTGAAAATCTGTTGACATTATCCCTGTGCACATAACTTGCACACTAATTATGCTACCCATAAGCTGAATGAGCTCATAAATACTAGCTGCACTCTGAAGAAGCAACACATTGATGTGTAGATTCATATGTTCTGGCTACTAAGTAATCCCAACATTCTGAAATGTGGAAATGATAGAAGGGATGGCTCCAAAGAAAATAAAAATGTCTTGGCTCCAATTGTGGTCTGTTGTACAGTAAAACTTTGCAGTGCAGTAAATCTTTACGGTATAAAGCTTTGTACTTTAAAATAACATCTACTTATTTTTTGTTTTGTTTTTCTGATATTATGACTGAGAAATAGCATGGAGGAGAATGTTTCACCCCAGAACCCATGTCGTGCCTATTTGAAAATCTTCATGGATGGATGGTGACCCTTCTTCCAAGAAGGCACTTTCATAGGTCTGGTAAGCTGCCCCTGGCTGGAAGCCTGGAACGCATCTAGGACGGAGGGTCAGGCACTTGTTCCAGCACCTCTATCTCTACTTTCGACTCAGCTTCCTCCCAGCATGGTGCATAGGTGTCTCCTGAAAGTTAAATAAAATATAGTGAAATTTAAATTATATTAATTATTGAATTACATTTGTATTCAAGTTAAATGATTAAATATAACTTTAAATTAACATGTGCCTATACAATTCTGACACATGCATTTTTAAATGTGGGGTGGGGACAATTTGCGATCAAAACACAAGGCAAACAGTAGACAAGAGTTTGCTCAAGAGAGGCATCTCTCCTTACTCTACACTAGGTAGCACCATGCTCTAGGCCCTCAAATGTGTCCTCTGAAACCCATCACCTGTTGTTCTGATTCCCAGCCAGTGTCTGAGGATGTTAAGGGGATTAAGACATCCCGGTTTTTGTGATACACAAGTCAGCTCCGATGCACAACTATGGCTTGAGTACACTGTGATGTGCTTGCTGGTTCCTCCTGGACAGAGCTAACTTTAAGTAAATACCAGCCACCCTCCCCTAACAATACCCTTACTGGGGACAGATTTGCATCACGGCTGAGAGATCCCTCATCTTTGCCTTGTCCCTCTGTGTGTATCTGAATCCACATGTGTCCTTCTGCTCTTTGGAAATGGGAGTCTGTTTCCTCCCCTTACAATGCAAAGTTTCTAATTCCGTGGTTGATACAAACCCTGACATCGAGGGAATTTCCAAGAGAAACTATAAGATGGAGAGGAACCCAGACACTGACAGGAAGCCAGCTCTGAACTCCCCTCCACACTGTCTGCTGGAACTGAATCCTATGACAGAGAGTCAGCAACACCTGAAGTCCAGACTTCTCTTCAGAAAGGTGTGTGTACAGACTGTTACAGATTCCCTGTTCCTTGTCTCCATTATTGAAATAGAAGGTGGTGTTATCAATGTTGAGGCTGTCCATTTGAAGATGCAAAATATTCTTGGCTTTATTTCTATAGAATGTCTATCAGGTATTCATAGTGTATAGGTAGGATATGGAATAACTATTACTCATTTCAGGTCCTTCATGGAGTTGGCTGATAACATCCATGCAATCACTGCTGGTGATGGGTCCACAGGTTGGACAGGAGAATCTCAGAGGTGCCCTAGTCTGCCTCAAGTCTCTCAGAGCCCACCAGCTGCATTGGAGGCATGCAAACACAAAGACATCCCGATCAGGAAAACCATTACACATTGTTTCATTCTTTTGTGCAACACATTTTCTTTTCATTTTTAATATTGCCACAAGGTAATCTCAGGTCAGCAAAAATTCCACTGTGACATGTGTAATCATACCTTTCCAGTGAATGGGGAGACATGGGCATCCTATGGGGTGTGTCCTCTCTCCTAGAGTTGAAGGGCTGGGCTAGTCTGGTTTTCCTCATCAGAATAGGGTGCCACTGTGTGTGTCATTTACTATAAAAATAGCTGAGGGCCAGCTATGAGTGTCCTGGAGGAAGTCGCTGGCAACTAAATATGTGGGAAAATATGATTTCTTATAATTTCAGTAGTGGTTAAGCCACACAGAGACCGATAGAAACAGAGGACACCATATGACATTTTTTCCCCAGAATATAGCCCCTCTCGTCCAGAATATACAAATACCAAGATGTACAAGCTAAAGACTCCAAAACAGGAATTTAGGTCACATGTGGTAAACTATAGCAAGTGACGGGGAAACAGATGATGTAAAAACAGAAGAAGATCTATGCTGGAAGGAGGTCAGGAATTTCTCCTGGGCCCATATTGCCCCTGAGGGAGAAACGTGAATGCTTGTAAGGTCACATCCCAGACCTAGCTTCACAATGTTTCCCTAAGTATGATGCAGTCAGAAGATCAGTTTATCACCTCTCACTTTAGCAGAAGCTCCAGACAAAGCTTAGAACCACTAAATATAATAACCCTATAATCCACCTGAGAGTGCTGAAAATGGTAGTGAAAGTTTGTTTTCCCCCTTGTAAGACCAATGCCAAGAGAGAAAGGAAAACAACAGAGCATCACTAGAGGCCGAAAGACTTTGGAGTCCAGAACAAAGAGAACGTCCAACAATGATATCCCTGAATTGAACCTCTAATACCATTGCCTCCTCTGATCTTGACTTTACCATTTGAAATCATTCAATCATACTCTGAAGCCCATGACTTTGGAATAGCAATCACCTGTGCCTTCCACACTGGGGATTTTCAGCTTTAAGTTCAGCAGAGTAGTGTGGTTCCTTTGAGAAAACCATTGCAGGAGACTCTATGAAACTGAAGAAACCCTGGGACGCTGTTGAATGTCAGAAGCTATTTGCCATTTCTTAATCCCTGCTATCTGACAAGTGCCCAAATTTGAGTGGAGTCTCTAGTGCAGGTGTTTTTTGTTTGTTTTATTTTTGCTTTGTTGATCTTGTGTGTGTGTGTGTGTGTGTGTGTGATTATCTAGTTTCACTCATGTTCATGTCATAATGTGCTTTGTGGTCTCTGTAGTGTTGTTTAGACATGTATAACATTCTATGGTGTGTATGTATCAACATTTCTATATTTTGAATAAATGATTGTCAGGAAACCTCACAAAGTAATGGAAGAATATACTGTTACATTTTTAGACAATAATGTTTGCACTTAATAGCTACCTTTACCTAGGCCCCGATTTTCCCTGAGTCTGATTGGAAAGTATTTATTTGAGAGTCATGAGAACTCTGATGCAGCAACCCCTGACAGAGTCTTTTCCTGTCCTTAAGGGACAGACTGCTTGTTGCTGTAGAACAGACTATATTCTCCCGGTACAATATAATTTTTTAATTTACAGATACCAGGAGTAGGCACACAATTAATATTTTTAAATTATAAAGATATTTCCTAGGGAAACTGTGAGATTTAGAGGAATCCACAGATCAACAAGGAAACCAGCCTTGAAGCTCCAGCTTCACCTGCTCCGGGGTCTGAGTCCTGTGATCTGTGGGTCCTGACCGTCCTCTGGAGACCAGTCTCTCTCTGCAGGGGAAGTTTGTTTCTGGGCCCTCACTGATTTCCTCTCAATGTGTCTCTTGCACAGTAATACATGGCTGTGTCTTCGGCTTTCAGGCTGTCCATTTGAAGGTAGAGTGCGTTCTTGGAGTTGTCTCTGGAAATGGTGAATTGGCCCTTCACGGAGTCAGCATAGTATGTTCCACCACCAGTATTAATACCGGAGACCCACTGCATGCCCTTCCCTTGAGCCTGGTGGACCCAATTCATGCCATGGCTATTGGAGTTGAATCCAGGGCTTACAAAGGACAGTTTCAGAGACTTCCCAAGCTTTTTCACATCGCCCCCAGACTCCACCAGTTGCACCTCACAGAGCTCACCTGCAAACAGAGAGGCACTCTGATTAGATGACTCACATACAAACTAAAGCACTCACCATTACACATGCACACACACAAACAACAGGGTACACCACAATTTCCATTTGAAATGGCCAAAATGAAAGCCAAGGTTGCTGCAAAATTCATTATGTGTCCTGGGACTAGATCCTGGGCACGAAATGGTAACAGCAGAGACCCCGAGACTGGACTGCCCTCTGAGTTCTCCCACATCAGGGTCTATGGCTGCTTTGCCAGCAGGCAGAGAGCTGCATGTGTATCTTCCCTAACACTTAGAAGTAGATGAGTAGAGATTATGGGCAACCGTTCTCCCTCAGACTCAGAGAAACTCAAGCACTCTCATAGGAAAACAGAGCTCTTAAACAGGTTCTCTACCAAGTATTGCTTTAATTGTTACATATTATTAATTTTTTAAGAAAGTCATTTTCAAGGTATAAGCTTTATATGACATACACAACAGCCTTTGCCATCTGAGAGTTCACAAGGCATCCCCTCTTGGTCCCCTCAAGAGCTCGATACGCATGATGACAGTGAGCAGCTCTGTTACCCGTTTCTTGTGTGGGGACATTGTTTCTCTTTTCAAGGAATTTCTCCAATTTAGTGATATTTTTAAACTGTGTTCATGAAGCTGTTCATAAAACATGTCCATAAACCCTGTGGAATGGTGTCTCTTCTCTGGTTTCTGACCTGGGAGATTCTGGTTCCCTTTCTTTTGTCATGAGCAGGAAAACTGGGTCTTTATCACTTTAATTCATCTACTATGTTTTCTTTTAATTGACTTATTTACTGTGTGCCATCTGTTTTTATTTATGTGAGTTTTTACATGTATTAGTTCCTACCCACCCCTACTCTCCTAACCTGTGATATGGCATGCTCATCTGTTTCCATCTAACCATTAGAAGGAAACTGAGATAATTAATTCCAGAATTGAATTTCCACATCATACAGATGTTTGTGGCTATGAATCCCCCATGAAGTTTTCTTCAGTTGAATCCCACAGTGTGTTATGTTGTGCTTTCATTTTTGTTCATTCCAAAACTGCTATTCAGGATATACAAAGCATGAAATATGTGTCATAGCTATCAATGACACATAATGTATATTTGTATAT